TACTTACTTGGATAAATGTCAATCCTTTTAATCAATTCATTTATATACTTACTTGGATAAATGTCAATCCTTTTAATCAATTCATTTATATACTTACTTGGATAAATGTCAATCCTTTTAATCAATTCATTTATATACTTACTTGGATAAATGTCAATCCTTTTAATCAATTCATTTATATACTTACTTGGATAAATGTCAATCCTTTTAATCAATTCATTTATATACTTACTTGGATAAATGTCAATCCTTTTAATCAATTCATTTATATACTTACTTGGATAAATGTCAATCCTTTTAATCAATTCATTTATATACTTACTTGGATAAATGTCAATCCTTTTAATCAATTCATTTATATACTTACTTGGATAAATGTCAATCCTTTTAATCAATTCATTTATATACTTACTTGGATAAATGTCAATCCTTTTAATCAATTCATTTATATACTTACTTGGATAAATGTCAATCCTTTTAATCAATTCATTTATATACTTACTTGGATAAATGTCAATCCTTTTAATCAATTCATTTATATACTTACTTGGATAAATGTCAATCCTTTTAATCAATTCATTTATATACTTACTTGGATAAATGTCAATCCTTTTAATCAATTCATTTATATACTTGCTTGGATAAATGTCAATCCTTTTAATCAATTCATTTATATACTTGCTTGGATAAATGTCAATCCTTTTAATCAATTCATTTATATACTTGCTTGGATAAATGTCAATCCTTTTAATCAATTCATTTATATACTTACTTGGATAAACGAAAGTGTGGTTCTTTATTGCTTCAATTGAAGGCCCAAAAAAAATTCCTACATATTCATTTCAAATACCTTATATATCAAAAATAAAAACTCATGGCACCAAAATTCATTAATACTTCCAAACAAAATATCATATACATACACTTTTACAATAATCAGATCATCACCTAAGTTTTCTTTTTTCTTTTTTTTTTTTTTTTGGTTGCTTAAAGCAATGAATTAAAAAACAAAAAATGTGCTAATAAGGGTAACAGCATACCAAACATAGTTATCAAAACCCTCATTCAAAACAAAAATATCTTGAAGGCTAATTGAGCACAGAAGTGCACAACCTTATTGCATCTCCTATGCACAAGTTGAAAAATGACTTGCTTAAACTGAGAGAGAAATGTGAAACTCTGAATGTCTTCAGATTTGTTCTTCCAAACTTGCTTCTCTTGCTTGAGAAACCCAATATATTACTATTGTCACCTTTGATAATAACAAATTTGGCTTCAATCATCCAAGGGTTGATGATCTCTTTTATAGAAATGATAGCCTTCAGCTCCACTTGGGCAATATTAACGTATTCAAACTTTGTTCCGGTAACAACACAACACTCACCAAACTCATTCCTAACAATCACTCCTATACTAGCCAAGTGAGAAGAACAAAAAGCGCCATCCACATTTATCTGAAACCAACCTGAAAGGTGGAGACCACCAAGAATAGTTGAAAAATTGTCTATCCAGCTGATTAGTGTCCCATTGCTCCTGAATTGGATAAGTGTGAGATCTCGCAATAATTTCAATGGTATTGGCAGCCAAAACGGTGGGAGTGGCGTAAGGCTCACCATGCCTTTTTGCACAATTCGCGTGCCATGCTTGATAAACAATTTTGCAAAAAATGGTCATAATAATATTGTTGTGTTGCATAGTAATGAAAAGACAATTAATAACATCCTCAAAGCTGCTGAAATGTGAGATGTTAAAACCCTACATATTTAGTTTATGAAAGATTTCCATGAGTAAATTTGGTTACAAAGAGCAATTTGCCCTCACGCTCTTGACATCCCCAAAGACCAAAAAAGATTGTCAAAAAAGAGTCTAGTATTGAGCGAAATATTATTAGGAATTGCATCCATTACGAGCCACCGCCAAAAAAACTCCTCTTAGAAGGACATTGAGCTTTCCAAGCCAAGCAAAGCCTTCATTTTGGTTGATGAACATATGTTCATAAGAAAGATAAGTATTTATTTTACCAAAAAGATTTCAGATCAGCTAGGGTTGATCCTTACAAGTTTGATTATCTGCAGGAAAAAGCTCAATTTTCACAAGTCAGTCCCAAAGCATTGATTTAACTGTGGCATTCCAGCCACTTTCCCTAAGAAAATCCAAAATCTTCAGACTTTCTATAATATGACTGCAGACAAAAGTTGGTCACCTAGCAATGGGTAAATCAAAGAAGCAAGCACATAGAAGCCCCCATATCTAGTCAGTTTGCACAATCTCTTTGAAGAGACATAATGTAAACCTTTTGGGGTAAGGCCCGTATTCCACAAAAACTCTCTACAACTTTTCTCTGAAGCATCAAGCATACCCATGGGCAACCAGTATGAGTAATGAGGTAAAAAGGCAAAAGAAGTAATGACGTATTAATAAGAGTGCTTCGCCAAGCAAGAGAGAGATACTGAAACCCCCCAAGCATTAAAATTTGTTGGCAGCTTTTGAGTAATTTTGGAAAAATCCACTTTGTTTAAGTCTTACGAGAGCAAGAGGAATCCCAGGCTATTCAAATTCTTCGAACTTGCAAAATTTCAGCATCCTATCAATTCTCCTCCAAACTGCTAATAGCTTTACTAAACAAGAAAATAGATTTATCAAAGTTGATTCTATAACCGGTTCAACCACAATATCTATCAAGAATCCTGAGAAAGGTGTTAGTAGCTTGAGTAGAAACATTACAAAACAATAGAATATCATTAGCATAGAGACGGAAAAGAGAGGGACCATTCTTGGCAATGCTAAACCCAAACATATGGGCTATCGTAGAGAGCTCGATGGAAAGCAATTCAGAGCAGAGAATAAATAAATATAGAGACGGGCAACCCTGATGAAAATAACATTTAAAGATAATCCAAGGAGAACTTTGAATATCAATAAGATGAAAGAACTTTGAGTACTCAATGCAACCCCTCACCCAAACATTTAAAGATAATCCAAGGAGAACTTTGAATATTAATAAGACGAAAGAACTTTGAATACTCAATGCAACCCCTCACCCAATGACACGGGGCTCAGC